ACACACACACATATATATATATATATATATATATATATATATACACACTTATATATTATTATATATCATACAGCTTTGGAATGACATCAGGGTGAGTAAATGATTAATTTTGGTGAGTTTTGGGTCCCTTTAACTGCCCAACACACAAATGTTACTCAACTGCAAAAATGTTACTCAAGCCATGAGGATGTTCCCATTCCAAAACAATATTCTACTAGGACATTTTCTGACCTTATCGCTTATCGCTTTGAAAAAAAAAAAGAGTCTCTAGAAGGTCAATGTTTGGAGCAAAGTCAGAGTTTTAGTTTTAGTGGCAGTTGATGATTAGTGTACTTCCTTTTGTGTAAACTAATCAGTGGCATGGCTTCTGACACAAACTACAACTTGTTAATAGTTAACTCATGTAACATGAACATACAATGGCAATCTGATGGTAGTACAAATACTGAGAAAATGGTTTTACTAGTCATCAAAATGTGGGTTACTCATATGTGTAATGTGTCACTGCTAAGTCCATCTGTCTTGTGTAGCGTTGAATAAGTGCTGAATTCAATGATATTTACACTTATGTTATGATAAGAACAATTATAAGAACACGACTGTTATAAAATGACATTTTTTTGTTGGTCATTTTCAAAGTAATTTGTAATTTTTCATGGTCAACCTGTGAGTGTTTGCCATTGGTTCCATAAAACTATTTACAAAATGTACAACTCAATCCATCTTAAACTATCTAAGAACAATCAACTAGTTTAGACTTGGCCAATTATTACATTAGTATGTATGTCAGTCTCATTAGTATGTTTTCGTATGATCTGTTCATGCTTCACATAAAGATTGGGTTGAAATACCATACCATATATGGCATGTCTCTAAACAGCATATATAAAATTAGGGACTACCCTAAAAACAACTTAGCAACATGTTAGGGACCACCCACAATATCTTAGCATCATAATGGCGACTTTGCATTTCTTCAGAAAAGTAAAAAAATATAGTTTCTTAGTCTATAAACTCATAGTGGGTTTTAGTTACATGAATTGTTAACCAAATGTGTGTGTGTGTGTGTCTTCTTCAGATGTTTTTGGCTGCCATGGGTTTTGTGTACTTTGCCAAAGCATTTCAGGGCAGCTACATGAAGAGCTCTGTCACACAGATTGAGAGACGTTTTGACATTCCTAGCTCACTGATTGGATTCATTGATGGAAGTTTTGAAATTGGTAAGCATACAAATGACACATTTTGGGCCTAAATGTAGCAGAATGCTAAAAACAAAGCATATACCCACACACTCTAATGGTAATTTGTATCTAGTCTTTTACGTTTTGGTGAATTGGTGGCAAATTTGTTATATCTCATTTGTGCGTTTCTTATGCCCCATGATGTGGGGGTGGATTTTTTTTCCTTCTAAAAATCTTACTTCTCCATCTGAATCACATTGTACAAATTCATACGATATCATCACCTTGTCAAAATCTGTGATTTTAATAGAATACCATTTTTTGTTCTTTTCAGGTAATTTGTTTGTAATAGCTTTTGTAAGTTACTTTGGCGCTAAGCTTCATAGACCACGACTCATAGGAGCTGGATGTTTAATCATGGCCATCGGATCCTTCATAACTGCGGCACCACATTTCTTCCAAGGACCGTAAGTTTATACAGATAAAAAAGAAAAAATAAATACAAAATTAACATTTGCCTATTCAAGGATTTTATTTATTTATTTTAACACTGGTCAACTGCTCTATAAACTACTTTAGTTACCATGTTTGTGTCAACAAGGCTATGTTTCTAAATTCAAATTATAAGACAAATAATATGTGTCAAATGTGTGTTTGTTTTCCACAGGTACAAATACGAGACATCAATTTCACATTTCTCCGCCTCTAATGATACAGAGAGTATTCTACCATGCTTAACCAATGGGAGTCTTACACATGATAATGAAATTCCCACAGTGGAAATTCAAGCAGGTAAGTTGTTCAGCCCTGACCCTGAGACAGACCTCAGATAAGAGATTAAACAAAAATTATACTGCAACCTTTTTTTTTCTTTTACATAACAATCTGATGGCCTTCACAGGAGTTTAGATAAGATCAACAGCCTCTCCAATTAAGTTTCTTCCAAAAAAATCCTATATAAAATCGAATAACAGTAATATGAGATAATCTGTGAATTTTGAAATATTTGGGTCATATTTCATCTCATATATTTTTTTTAATGTTGCATAATACATTTTTCTTATTTACTCATTTTTGGGTGCTATATGACCCAGACATATACATTGTATTGTAAGATTTACTATAATACTGCCATGCACATTCATAAGAAATAACAATCATTCATGAAACAAAATATGTTGAGAAAGTTGAGTTGTGGAATCAGTTGTCATGTTTGGCTTGTAATATGATTGTGCTACCCACAATCCCCTGCAACATTGATCTGTCACTCTAGTTTGCTTATCCAGCTTCTCATTTCTGAAATTTGAACTTTGGGAAGCTTAATATATTGGGTTTATGTAATTGATACACTTAAAATCTACAAATGTAGACTTTGATCTTTCATTAAGATGCTGATATTGGAGTGTGTTTTGTTTATTTGTGGTGCTTTTGTTTTTGAAGGGTGTGAGAAAGCAGCCAGCTCCTCCTTGTGGCTCTATGTCTTTCTCGGGAACATGCTTCGTGGGGTAGGAGAGACACCAGTCATGCCTCTTGGGTTGTCTTATCTGGATGATTTTTCGAGGGAAGAAAACACTGCTCTTTACATGTGTATGATTGATTACCATTTTCAATCATTATATTATCAATGTTGGCATACATTCAAGCCTTATTAACATCCTGCTAGTTACACTTCATCCCCATTAGATGTCAAAACGCACCAGTTTCACTTTTCCAGTTTAATTTTAATTGTGCATTTTACTTATTGATCATTAATATATGTGTTTGCAGATAATATTATATTTAACTTATATTTACTTAAAGAGAGTACACTTTCATAACTGCTTCTTAACATACTGAAGTGCACTTTTAAAAAATACTTTAAGTGTACTATGTTTTAATAATGTTTTGTCATGCTTTAAAGTTCACTCTCTTAACATACTAAAGCACATGCAAAGTACTTGATTATAATTTTAACAGTAGTGTGTTATTTAATATTACATTTAAAGTTCATAAATTTTGAATGTCACAAAAGTGTCATTAGATATATTTAAATATATGACATACGTTTAATGTATATTTTTATATACTTTTTATATGTATATTTTATACACTCTTCAATAAAAAATAACCAAATAATGTATTTAGAATTAGTTTTTGTAATATAGAAAATTAAGCCTATTTTTTTTAGGATAATTGAATAATTGAAGCAATATGACCATACAAACAATAAACCATACAAATAATGTGCAGTTTGAAAAGACTGGTTAACTTATATTATTCTAGGTGGTGACTCTCATTACAAATGTATAGTGATGCTATATACAATGCTTTTTATATTGTGCAATTTTATTAATCTACATTATTTCAGTAACTAATTTTTGTACATTACGCTAATGCCAATAATTTTGGGTGTAATACGTGTTGGGGGTAATCTATGGTAATATATTTTTTTCAGCATGTTGATAAGAATTGAGAATTAGGATGTGTGTGGGGGGAGGTGAGGCTTAATTGTAATGAACATAATGAAATACAAAAAATACAAAAAAAAATATAATTGAAAATGTGAGAAATATTATGCAAAATTTCATTTCTGTCCTTTCATTTTGGTGTGAAATATGACTTGGGCATGTTCTTAACTTCACCCTCCTACTCTTTCTCTGATTAAGATGATGTCAGTGTGAATCAGCATTTTTGTATTGATTTTTTCCCCTCCTCAGCTCTCGTACAGACTTTGGGAATAATGGGGCCTGTGTTTGGATTCATGTTAGGATCATTCTGTGCCAAGCTCTATGTGGACATAGGAGCAGTGGACTTAGGTAATGACCTCTACAACCAGTGAAGATTGCAGTCCTATTTTTGTTGAACTGATAACGGCTCTTTGCCCTACACTGATAATACAGGTGCATCTCAATAAATTAGAATGTCGTGGAAAAGTTCATTTATTTATTATCCCTATAGGCCAAATTGGTGATCTAAGATTAACTTTTCATGGTTATAAAAGAAAATATATAAAACACAAAATGATGATGATATTTTGCACATTTCTAGAAAAAATTCCCAGCAACCTTTAGCCTTTGTACCTTCAGTTTTACTATGTCATAGTTACTTGTTGCATGTGAATTATGTGAATAGTGGATGTTTGTCTTTTAGTCTAATCGATTGGCTCAGTTCACTTCAACTAAGTAGGTCATAACATATCATATCATATCATAACTCTGCAGTAACGCATCATTACCTGAAGTCAGTGTAGATCATCATTGTTAATGAATGACATGACTTTATGATAACTAGTCTTCTATATAACTGGCTGGCTGACCCAGTTACCCTTTGACATAAGGGGTATTCGGTCATACTGTTTGTGAGGATTTACAAATGATAAATTCTTTTTACTGATTAATGAACAAAATGCGCATGTCTGTTTTTTTTTTTTTAAAGATACCATCACCATCAACTACAAAGACTCACGTTGGGTTGGTGCCTGGGGGCTGGGCTTTTTGTTAACTGGTGGAGTGATGCTACTGGCCGGAATTCCCTTTTGGTTCTTTCCCAAGTCTCTTCCAAAGCAGGGCGAGACTGAAACTGAGAAAAAATCGAATGTTTTAGAGGGCGAGCAGGACCGTTTCATTCCTGATAACAACAAACACAGTACTGCTCCCAACAAACCAGCTTCCATGGCAGTTCTGGCTAAAGGTGTTCATCTCATTAAATAATTAATTTTAAATATGTTTATTCATAAGATTTGGTCGAGATATTGAGCATACATGTGCTGTGTTCCTCCTCCACCACACCCACAGTGAAGGCAGAGCCACTCAACTGCAGAGCAATGTCTATATATTTCTCAAGAGTCCATTGAGGGGTATTGCGTGGCATTAAATGTGATATGTTTTTAACCAAACCAAAACGAAAAATGTCTTTCAGGAAAGTGTCATGAAAGTCCACCAAATGACACAACTTACAAAAGTCTGCCACATAATCCTCTATAGGCCGGCTTCCTTGGCGAAGTCGAATGAGACGATCTGCTGGGTTCATTTTGGAGGTTGTGTATTCTGTAACGAATCAGTCAACTGAAGGCAAGCGTAGTGAAGAACCCAAGTGCAGTTTATTTACAGTG